CTAGCTGGAGTTAAACCACGACATAGGTGCAATAAATCTTCAGTGATCTAGTGGTAAGTATCCTTTTCTTTACACTGGGAATTAATAAAAAGTATCAAGTTTTACCCGAATTCCTGACTATCCGAAGGTTTCGCCTGACACTTCCACTTCTCCTCAAGAAGCTACGACTTCTAACAGTTTAACATTTATTTAAAAAGAAGAAAGAACATTTATGACCCTGAAGAGTTCCACATTTCAGGCTCCATCATGGCTAGTGGTATATATACGACTCATTCTACAAAACAGAGCACCATGTTTCCTTAGCTGTTCAGAAACTTCCCCCATGCTGTTTTCTGACCACCTCACCTGTGAAATCAGGCAGGGCCTTATTGTCCACCAGAAGGAGAGGCCGCACCTGCTTTTGCTCCAGAAGGTTTCTGGCTGCTGTCAGAGACGTGAAGATCTCATGTTCTGCAATGTCAAATCCCAGTTTTGTCAGCCTCTCCAGCAGATCTCTCTTGCACTCCTTTGTTGTGTTCGTCACAAATCGAATGGTAACCGGAGCGCTGCGCAGCCTGATGGACAAAGGACACAGGCAAATTGGCCACAGCATCCCACACACTCGTACGTCTGTTTGGGACTGGAAAAGGACTGTTTGTCTAAAGGCTGCAGATGAAAACTCTGTACACACCCCAGAGTACTGGTGCCACACAAGAAGGTTTTTAACTTCTGTGGACTGGAGGGTAACGTGAAACCGATGGCAAGAATTAGGGCTACCAGAACAAACCCAGGTCTCCCCTGCTTTGCGTCTACCAGGAGAAGTCTGGAGGAAAGTGGTGATTCCAGTAGTAACAAACACATCTACGATCAACAGTAAGGAGTTTGAAAAGCCTTTTCCTTCAAACTGGATAATAAATAAACCAGCCCTGTATTCTGGATCAACAGCATCCTGAACCAAAATAAATAAACAGAAGAACCTTGCTCCTAAATGAATGTGTTGAACTCCAAGCGCCGGGTGAATTTTGCAGCAGCTGTGGCTCACTCGGAGATACAGGATGCTCCAGGAGCCTGTGTCACCCCTGTGGCGATTTTGCAGCCATTTCTCTCTTTACTGAGGAACACCAATATCCCATAAAACCACATTATTGCCCTACACTTGTCAGTACATGCTACCAAACAATCAAATAATTTTAAGTGCCAATTTCAATGGTGTTCCCTTTAATTATTCCCCCACCATCACTTTCTCTGGTTGTTGCTATAGAAACGAACACTGGCATCAGGACTGCAAGGAGAACATCAGAATGAAGTTGGTCAACGCTGCAGAATCCCTTCCACCTGCCACTTCTTGCTCTTGTGTGGTCTGCTGCCCAGAAAGACACACTGACCCTTCACAACAAAGAACTGGTTAAAAAGTCACCTAGTTGCTAATAAAATGAAATTAGTTGTGGGTTTTCGATTTTCCGTATCGCCCTCAGTATTGAAAAGTAACGCTAAAAATGGAATCTATCCATTTGTTCCCTAAGAAAAAGCCGATACAGGGACTGCTGGAGCACCCATCAGCAGGCATCAAGCAGAAGCAGCAGACAAAGGAGATTGTCTTCCAATTCTACAGAAGCCATTTCTTCTGTCCAGCCCACTGCCTGGAGGTTTGGAGGTGAACAGGAGACAGGACAGATACCAAGCTTTTCTCAACAGTATCACCACTTTTTTATATATATGTGGATTTTCAAGAATGCTGACCCTCACCTGGCACACGTTTTCTCCTGTTCTCTCCACGAAACACCAGGCAGACAAGGTCCAGTGAATGAATGGGTAACGAATAAGTACCCAACACTACAGCAGTTTTTACTTCCTGGCAACTTTACAACTTTAGGAGATAAAGAATTCCACAGAATTATTTGTGAAAAGAAATGCAGAGTTTCCTGATCCCTCTGCAAACTTTTCCTCTGAGCAACAGCCTAGCTTTATAAAAATCTAAGCAGCCAGTACAACTCCACTAAAACTCCTCATCCTTAATTCAACCCTATTCCCCTCCCCTGATTTATTCTTACTGTCCCAGAATCTTAAGTCCTCCCTCCTTCACCATAATAGCATGTATCACTTTGTGTTTTTCTTCATCCATTCCAAGATATCTTCTCTGGGAAAACAGTGCCATAACACAGTACAAAGATCCTGGTGTTGCGTATCTTATTTTGCCGCTGACTAGGCCAAATTGAGTTGTTTTCAATCTCTTCACGCAATCTTTCATCAGAAGAGGTACTTAACTGTCCTCTTCATTAGCGTGTTGAAATTCTTACAAAAGATGGGCTGTACCATCAAATGTCTGTCAAGCTAAAAAAAACAACTGAGGTTGTTTACTGAGCAGAGAACCTTGAAAAATAATAAAGCAAAGCCATGGCTGAAAGGCCAAATGAAAGCAGAACTCTGCAGAGCATGCCTGGCTCAGTAGGCTAAGTTTCTCTGTCATTCCACATCAGCGCACCAGGGGAGGAAGGGCTCAGACATACATGAGGCTCCTGAGTTAAACAAAGCACAGAGGAGCAGCTGAGCTGAAGTGACTTCCGTGTACACGGGGTAATTCAGGTTAACTTAACTACTTTCCACTTTGGCTAAGGCTGCAGTCCCACATGAATTAGCAGAAACACTCTGAATATTGACTTCTTCTACCTAGAAAAGACTTAGAAAAGACCTAGAGAGTGACTTAGGAAAGCTGCAGGGGTTCAGGTGATACATGGCAACTTTTCAATGTCCAGGCCCTTTGCTGATTTCTCTTGGTATTAATGCAGGTGTAAATAAAAACTGAATTTGGGAGCTATTTGCTTATTCACAGCACCATAAAAAGGCAGAAGCTTCAGGCCCGTTCACTTAAAGAAGCGACTTCGTCCTATCAGCGCTGACGTAACCTATCAGAGGAAATCGAAAAAGGTAGCTTGCCTTTTAAGAGCTTCCTGCGCGCCTGGCACAGCTGAGTCTTCAACGTGAAGTGTGCCGCTGAGATCCACCAAGACAGCTTTCAGTGCACGCCGAGCTGCCATCCTTCCTTCCCCAGGGAAAAGGCAAATAAATGAAACAACAAAAAACTGGTTAGCAGACAATGGATAATAAAAATAAGGAACTCAGTTAAGCGCCTCATTTGTGCCAAGCCCGGTATTACTCAGAACATTACTCGCAGTATTAAATGGGCCCCTTTAGACAGAGAAATAAAAGGCAGTGTTTAAAAAAAATACATAATTGATGGGGTGGTATTTTCCCAAAGACTCTATATATGGAAATCAGGTGCTATTTGTTTTTTAAGTGCCTTTATTTGTGCGCGTCAAAAAATTCTCTAAACAAGTAAGACTGTTGGGACGAGGATCATTAGGTCCGGTATTGCTGGTTCAAGGCCTCAGCCAGCACATTTCGGCAAGTCCCATCGACACCAATGGCGCTGTTCAAGTAAAAATAAATACAATACTACCCAGTGATGACACAGTGCTCTGACGATAAAGCTCAAAACCCACTGCAAACGTAGGCATTGTCTATTTTATTTTGTAAGCGAGATCTACGGCGATCCAGCTCACAGTTCAGGTGCCCTAACTCTTAGGTTATGATGATGACCGCCCACGTCCCAGTGTGGATTTAGCCTGGAAGTGCTGAGGGCTCAAGGATATTCAGCATGCCTCCTCCTGCAAAGGGGACAGTCAAGCAGTTTTTGTACAGCAAGCTTGTGTGTCACACAAACAGGTACAGGAGACTCAGTCCAAAACGGAAGCCAGTATTCAAAGGCTAAAAGCACTGTGGAAGAAAACAGTGAGGTCAAGTGCAAGTCATCTGGCTAAACAGCTGTCTTCACAAACCAGTATGTCTCCTTAGGTGTGCTGCAAGTGCTGCATTTTGCTCCAGAAGCAAGTTTGCTGAGCTGTTTCTTAGCAAATGTCCAATACCTTTCCAGGCTTTCCTCCTGCTGTTTGTCAGACAATAAGGACTACCTGATCTGTCACCACCAGCAAGTCAACGCGATTTTATGTTGAGCTGGTCTGGGTATAGACAGCGCGTGTAACACGCCTGTACTCTTCAAAAACACGCAGAATGGTCAACACCATGATTAGACCTGCCTTAACAAATGTGTTTTTCTATCAGGACAGTTTTATCTTTGCAGACAGTTTTACCAGTGATCAAGATCATGTAAACTAAACATCTCAGGCACACATGCAGAAAACTTTGAGATTCCACTTTCATTATTCCGGCTGGTTCCTGGCAATAAGAAAAAAAAAAGCTTGTTGCACAGTATGTTTATTGCTACACAGGCCAAGATTGAAAGTCTGTGATAAAAGAGCTGATAACAGAACTCCTCAGGGAACTTCATCAATTGCAAGGGAAGAGGGCACCATCTTCTCTGAGTAAAACACTTGGTGCAGACAAAGCGCCTGAACAGAATGAAATTTGCATGACTACCTATTATCTCCATGACAAAAAAAAGCCCTCTTCCCTCAAGCATTTCATCTCTAGCACTGGGAATTTTGAGTGGTGGGAGAGATTAAAGAGAGGACTGGAAAAGGTGCTACTATATAAATTCTCTGGCCAGGCTGCAGAGCAACTGCACCCTGACTGCATGGATAGCACAACTAAGGATGGGGATAGAATATCTGAGTTTAACAGAAATGGGATTTTGCCTTTATTCCCTATATCTCCGTTAGTTCTCCTAGTCACTGTGTATTTACTCATGTAAGTTATGTGCAGACACAGCTTTCAGCATTGCTGATTTTAAGCATAAAGCACGTGGTTTAGCAAGAAAGTCCTAAAAACCTAAGTGCCTCAGTGTCCATAATTGCAGCTCAGCACATCAGGGGAACCTCACTTTCGTGCTGGCAATACAGCTACAGGAAAGGAATGAAGCCATGCGATAACACAGGCTGGTCAGGACAAGAGCGACCACCCAGTTCAACTCCCACCTGGTCTTCGGCAGTGGAACGGGCCTACATGCTGTACAGGGGTGCATCCAGATGCTCACAGCCTTTGGGGAAAGAGGCCTCGTCCCCTTGCAGGAAGGCTGGTAACGGCACACGTGTCGGGGACACAGAGGGGCTCCTCTCCATGGCTGAGGTGCCCCACACTGCCCACACATTCTTTCTCTCCCCCAGACCCCTGTGTCACCCCACAGGGCCTGCACGGCGCTGCCAGCGAAGGCCAGGCCTTTCCCTTCAGCACAGGCAGACCCTGAGGCTACAGACGAGCCCCAGCACAAGGCAACAGAGCATCCTTCAAACTGCGCTGAAGGGAGTGGGGCTGCAGGCTCCAGGGCCTCCCATCTAGCTCCAGACAGGCCACGCCGCCTCCC